AAGAATGTTTAACATGTAATCAAAAAGATAAATGTATAATATGTGGAGAAGGATATTTTATGAGTTCAACAGGAATATGTAAATCAACAACAACAATTAAAGGGTGTAAAGGAGAAATAGATAAAGAATATGGATGTAGAGAATGTTTAACAGGATATTATTTAATAAATAAAGAATGTTCAAAATGTGGAAATAAATGTATAACATGTTTAAATGAGAAAGAATGTAATACATGTGAAGATGAATATATAATAATAAATAAAGAATGTATTCATTATTCAAATATTAATAAATGTAAAGAAACAAAAAATAATAAATGTTCAAAATGTTCATTTTGGTATGGAATCAATGAAGAAGGAACAAAATGTAATAAAGAAATTGTATGGTGGATGATAATGATAATTATCATCATTATACTTATTATCATCATTATAATAATTATAATTATAATAATAATGATTAATTACATTATAAAACGCAAAGAAAAGAAAGAACAAGAGAAAACAACAACAATATTTAAAATTTCACAATCAAATATCAAATTCATAACACTTGGAGATGGAATAATAACAAATAAAAAAGAAATAGAAATAGGAGAAGGAGAAGAAATTGAAGTAAATAAAGAAATCAGAGAATTAATATGTATTGGAAATGAAAAGAAAGAAAAAAAGAAAATACAAATAAGTAGTAAAGAAGAAAATGAAAAATATTCAATTAGAACAAACCCAAATATCATTACAATTGAAGGAGGATATGCATGTGAATTTGAAATATTCATTACAATCAAATGTACTACTAAAATTAAAGAACAAATAATGATAATTAGTAAAACACTTAATAAAACACAAGAAGAAATAATTAAAATTATTTCAATTAAAGGAGAAACACAAATATCAACACGACTTGATCCAGATGAAATAAAAGAAGAACATAAAATAGGAGAAGGATCATTTGGAATTGTATATATCGGAGAATTTAGAGGAAATAAAGTAGCAATTAAGAAAATGAAACAAATTGATAAAAGTGAAAATAAAATGAAAGAATTTGAGAAAGAAGTAATGATGTTAGATAAATTTAGAAGTGAATATATTATTCAATTTTATGGAGCAGTATTTATTCCTAATAAAATATGTATGATAACAGAATATGCAAAATATGGATCAATACAAGATTTAATTAATAAAAGAACAAACACGGAAATACCAAATAAAATAAGAATTAAATTCATGATAGATGGAGCAAAAGGAATTTCATATCTTCATTCAAATGGAATACTACATCGAGATATTAAACCAGATAATTTTCTTGTTGTAACAATTGATGATAATATTGGAGTTAATTGTAAATTAACAGATTTTGGAGCATCAAGAAACATTAATATGATGATGACAAATATGACATTCACAAAAGGGATAGGAACACCAAAATACATGGCACCAGAAATATTAAATCGAGAACATTACAAAATGGAATCAGATATATATTCATATTCAATAACAATGTTAGAGATTATTACATGGCAAGACCCATTTCCCAAAACATCATATCCACATCCATGGGATATTGCAGATTCAATCACAACAGGTAAACGACCAACAATAATACAAGAAGTTAAAGAAGATATTAAAGAAATTATTGAAAAAACATGGAAACAAGAAGCGAAAGAAAGAATAAGAATAGAAGAAGTAGTAAGAATGTTAGAAAGAATTGAAAATAAAGAATGAAAACAAACATAAAAGAAATAGAATTAATATTTCATTTAATTCTATTAAATAATTTAATTTTATTAACATACTTTATCATTTTATTTAATTACAAATAAAGAAATGAACAATAAATAAATTAAAATAGAATACATTCATTCAAAATAATTATATAATAAACAAAATGAAAAATAGAAGAATAAAAAGATACTAAATAACAAGAATGAATACATAATTATAAATTATAATATAATAAATTTGTTTTAATTATGTTTGATAGAATTATTAATTGAATTATGAATGATAGAGATATTAATTAAATGATGTGTTTGTTATTTTAATTTTATTATTGATATTGTTTTTATCTTCTTTTCTTTTAATTATAATTTTCATGTTTATCATATAATTTAGGCAAAATATTTTGAATCAATAAAATAATAGTTTTTATTATTTTGTTCCTAAAAAAAAAATAAAAAATAAAAAAGTAAATTAAATACACATCTATAATCAATTATGTTTGTTTATATTTTATATCATTTTATGATAAATTGTTCTGAAATATAAATAATTCAGAAATGATATTTGATTCAATGTAAGTATACATTTTTATTATTATGTTATTATTATGTTATTTATGTATTTTATTTTTATATATTTATATATTTTATTATTATATTATTTTTATTATTATATTATATATATCATCATTTTATCTATATATTTTATATTTATCATATTTTATTAATTTTATATTCTTATTATTTATATTTATATATATATATATATATATATTTCTTATATATTAATACACTTCATTATCTTATTTTCATTTCATTTTATTTTTATATTTTATATCTTCTTTCTCTTTATATTTATTATTATTATTTTATTTATATTATATTGATTTTATTTATTATTATATTATTTATATATTTTATTTATTATTATATCATTTCTTTTCTCTTCTTATTTCTTTATTATTTATTATTATTTATTTAATTTTTATATCTTCTATCTATATCATATGAATTTATTATTTATTATTTATCATATATTACATATTACATATTATATACTAATCATATAACATCTATAACTGACTACCTAATAAACACTAATAATAAATAATACATATAAATAAAAATCATAGAAAAAATAAAAATGAATAAAATAAAGATAAATAAAATAAAGTTAAATAATTTGCATCAATAAATTAAACACTTTTTATTTCATATTTCTAATTTCTGTAATAAAAAATACACCCATTATTTCATCATTATTTTCATCTTTTATTATCTCTTTTTGATTTACTCCTTTTTATATTCTCAACATTCTACTTTTATTCTTTTCATCTTCTTCTACTTCTTAATTTCACTTTTTTTCTTTCATATCCTTCTTTTTCTTCATTTTTTATTTCCTTTTTTGTTGCCTTATTTTATTACTTGATTCTTTATTTCAATCTTTTTATTCAGTACTCTTTTCATTTCTGTGTTTTTTGTTTGACTTTTGGTCTTTTTGTTCATTCTTGAATCATTTTTGTTGGTTTTATGTTTCTTGTTCAATTTTATGTTTTTTTTCTCTTTTTTTCCTTTATTTCCTTTTTCATTTCCTCCTTTAACATTTTCTTCTCCATTTTCCCTGTTGCAGTTTCTTTTTTTTCAATATTTGTTATTCTTTCCAATACTCCCTGTTTCTTCTTCCTCTTTTTTATTGTCTCTTTTTGTTTTTGTTTTGCTCCATTTATATTCTGTTTCTGTAGTTTTTGTTCCTTTATCACTTGTACTTTCAGTATCTCCTTTTCTATTTTGATTACCAATTTCTATTCCAGTATTAGATACTTTTTTCAATGTTTTGAGTTTGCCTATGTTCCGTTGTTTCCTACTTCTGTATTTTGTTACCATTTGTTCTTTTTTTGTTCCGTGCCACCGTTTGCTTTATTTCCTGGTTTTACAACTTTTTTGTTAGTGTGTTCTTTTTTCTTTTGTCACGTGTGGTTGTGCTTTCTTGACCTTAACTCCTTTTATTCCTTTATTTTCTTGTTTTGCACTTGTAGTTCCTGCATCATTTACTCCATCATTTTTTACCACCAACTGTTCCTAAAGTTCTTGGTCCACTTATACTTGAAGTTTCCGTTCCTGTTTCATGACTACTTAGTTGACTATTTCCATCACTCCCTTTAGGGGTTTTCTTTTTCTTTTACTATTTAGTTCACTTAAGATTCCACTTTCTTTACCACTCCCCTCTTCTTGAACATTATTTATTGATATTTATTCCTTTACACCTATGTTGATTGTATTGATGATATTGTTTCTTTTCCCTCTTCAACATCAACTTTTAAATGTACGTTATATTTATTGTATATTCCTTTATGTTTATTTGAATATATTTGTGTGTGTATAATTTCTTTATTTCTTTCTTATTTATTTTTAATGTTCTTTGTTGCACTTGTAATTATAAATTAATATATGTAATCATTGTTTGTTTATATTTCAGTTCTGTTCTTTAATTATATTCATTTCTATTATTATCATTTATTTCCATTTATTAATAATTCAATCAATTCGTTGTTCATTTTATTTCATTATATTTGTATTTTATAATTCAACAATAAATAGAATCAAATGAAATATTAAATTAAAATTCTATTCAGTTTTATAGTTCAATATCCTAAAATGAATAAAATAATAAATAATAACAATAAATACAATAATAATATGAAATGAATGATAAATTCAATTCATAATTCAACTCATTAATATTTTATGATTATATTCATTATTATTTATCAATTATTGATTATTCATGTTAATTTCTTATTTTTAGTATTTATATTTCATTATAATATATTTATTTCAATTGATTTGTGTATTGATTTGATTATTCTTATTTGTAATATATTGTTTATTATTCTATTCTTACTCTTATTATTTTATATTGTTTCTATCACTTGAATTAATTTATTTTGTTAAAATCTTCTTTATTTTTTGTTTATTATTTCAATCAATCATTATATATTAAATTATGATGATGAAATTAACTCATGACTAATGATAAACTCATTTTATTAATCATAATATAAAATGAAAAGAACGAATGATAATGAGAAGGTTTGATTTTATAATAATGAAACATTTTATTTTATCAAACAAACATGAAGAAATAAAGAAAAAAAGATATATATAACAAGAAATAATACAAAAATGAAAGAGAAGAAAAATAAAAGAGAATAAACAACAAATTATCTTGTCTGCACAATTAATATTCAAAATTTAACAAGATGAAATACGAAATTAAATTAATAAGAGTTATATAAATGAAACCTACTTGTGCTATTTTTTAAATCAATAAAAAATGATATTAGTTACAATAACCATAAATAACAAATACAAATATAATAATGATATTAAGGTTAATATATAAACCATAAACAAATCAATAACTATTATTCAATTAGTTTGTTTCATATATCCATTTATCTGAATATGAATTAAATATTATTTGATTTGTATTATTTAACACGAGTTAATATTTATTATAATCCTTCATTAAGTGTTCTCTTTTAGACTTCAATTATATTGAGTATATTTGTTTATATAATTTTCCATTTCTACAAATGACTCATTCTATCATTTTTATCTTATTCATACAATATCTTCATGTTAAATTGCTATTTCTTTATTATAGTAATTTATGAATGCAATTATTAATTCAAATAAAGAATAGTGTTTATATCACATTTAAATTCTATTATTGTATATTGACATAATACAAAAGTTTAAATAATTGATAAACATGCTTTACTAGTTAAATATTTATCAATGAATAACAAACATATTATAATAGAGCAACATAAATTTAAAAATATGATAAAGATAATAACATTAATTATATAAGATTAACATATGAAAAGTTTAAATTAACTAAAAGAAATGAATACTAACTATTGTTATAAATAAATTATTGGAACTATCTTCATCAGAAATAAATTAATAACTTAAATTCAATAGTAACTATGAAATTTAATAATCTAAATTCTCTTAACTTTTAATATAACTCTATTTCAAATAAAATAAAACAAGAAACCTTTTTTTTCCTACTATTATTAAGAATAGAATAATTTAAATGAATTAATAGTTAATGTGTTTTTTTAATACTTACTATAAATAAATAGGATGAAGAAATGAATGGATGAGGATATCAATGAACTAAAAATAAACAAGGGTAATAACGTTACATAAATGTGTAATTTTTCAACATTCATAACATGAAGAATATTTATTTATAAAAACCAATAAAATGTTAATAATATATTTAAGAATATTTATTATTTTTTTTACAAAATATAAATAACAGAATAATTTTTCGAACACTTGGTGTCGTATTCACATCATCTCGAAAATAGCATTTTCAAATGGGCTATTGTGTTAGGTTTAAGAATAATTGGAAAAGAGAAGTAGACTTAGTTGTAATATCTATATTTAATATAATGCGTGTATTTTCTCTCTTCTGCCAATTCCAATCACTCTTCTTTGTGTCTGTAATGTTATTGGGAATCTGGTTTATTTTTACAAGTTCATCACTATACTTATTTACTTCATCATTTTATTCTGTGTTACTTATTTACGGATCTCCTCTATTATTTGTATTTGTCTACAGATTTATTTTATTTTCATTTCAATACATAAGCGTATCAATCAAGTTTTATAGTAATGTTAGTGATAAGATCATCCCTAAGGATGGTTACAGAAAACAACTCGAAGCTGTTTTGACAGAATTTAGTTCAAATAATTATAATTGGATACATATTATTGGTATTATTATACCTCTTTTTGGTGTTATCGTTGGGTTAGTTGGTTATTTAATTCTAGAGATTGTTTATAATGTCCATGGCAAAAAGAATGGACATCGAGCACCATCTTTTCTTGGAACTATAGGGATTTCTTATTTGGTAATAGGTGCAGCCATTCAATTATTAATCTTTTTTATAAAGATTATTTGTGACTGTAAACAGCAACATGAAGAAATTAGTAAAGAACTAAGGGATGATGAAGGTTATATTTTTATAATTAGTTATTTAAAGTGCCTGCCATTCTTTTCGATTCTGTTGATTGTATATTCATTGATCTTTGAATCTGATTCAAAAGACAATTCTAAAAGTAATACAAAACCATCAAATTGTCAATGTGTTGCTGTTGCTGTCATAACCGTAATATGTGTAATTCTATTCCTTACCTTTTGTGGATTTTATATAGGGACTGTTATTAGTACATGGCAAGAAGGGAAATGGCTATTATTATACTTAATAATATTTTTATTCTCAATACTCTCTAATGGAGTTACTATAATCAAAGAATTAAGAAATAGGAAATTCAAGGAAGCAAGTGATAAAGCTGATTCTCATTTTGGATTTGATTTTAATAGTAGTATTATTCTTGCAATTATACTAATTGTTATTGTAGTTATCATTGCATGTATAGTTGTTGTTATGGTTTATATTATGCCAAATATAAAAAATAAATTCAAAGGAGATAATACTCAAGAAGGTATTAAAAACGATGAGTCTTATTTAGATTTAACACAACAATTAAATGGATTTTTGTGGGACATTTCATATGATTATTCATTTGATAATTATGATTATTACCAAGAATCAAGTAAGATAGAAAGAAGTACTCGTAGTCAATCACAATTATGTTCAAATGATTCATATGGCATTACACCAGCAGAATATGGTTGTTTGAGTTCTTTAGCATATAATGAAAAATCAAAAAAACAATATCAAAAAGATTTTTCTGAACAAAGAAGTAACTCAGATGTATCAGGAAGTAATGAAAATGATTCAAGTGAATATGAAAAAATTGACCAATATCTTAAAAACAAAGGTTGGGAAATCCAACAACATAGTAAAGGTGAACTACATTATCTGGTAGGAATTAAAACCTTTACAAAAGGTCAACCAAATAAGGTAAAAGTGATATCTTTTAGAGGAACGTATTCAAATTGGGATAGGGTTTATGATGTTCAATTGTTTAGTGAATCTGCATTTCCAATTCTATCAGTTACGGTATTTCCATTATTTACAAAACAAACTCTTTCAAAAATAAGTTATGGACTATCATTCTTCGGAACAAAAGCATTCAAAAAAACTGATAAAACACTTTTAGGCATAGCAAAAGAAGTAGTAGCTAAAGAAATGAAAGAAGGAATCCCTATTGTGCTTACTGGTCATTCACTTGGAGGAGGGATTGCAAATCTGGTTGGAACGGATCAGGGATTGCCAAGTTTTGGAATTTCTCCTCCTGGAACATTTTTAGGCTCAAAAGGATTAGGACTAAAGAAAAAGGATGTTCCTGTACTTGTTAGAGCCATCATACCTGACAGAGATCCTGTTGCTGCTATAGGAATAAATGGAGGAATACGAATCAGAATACCATGCTATGCAAACTCATTGAAGTGCCATGGTATACACAATTCAGTTTGTATGATTGGTGAATTGTGTAACGATAAAAACATGTTAGAGCTATGTAAGGACACATGGTTGAGTTGGGGGTTTGATGGGACAAACATATAATTGAGAGAAGGGTTTAATAACCTTAAATTTAAAAGAATAAAGATATAAAAAAGAAAAGAGTTAAACAAACATAATAGTAAGTTATAACAGTAAAATACTTTTAATTTTTGTTTAATGAGAGTTAGTTTCATAATTTCGTGCTATTTTTGATTTCCTTTTGTGTTAAGGTATATTTTTTCTTTCTCATATTTATCTTCTGTTTATTTGATACACTTACTATCATTAAAACAGACTCATTGAAGAAACACTAGAAAAAGAATAAAAAAATCTGTATTAAAATAAGAAAAATAATACCAACAAGTGTCAATAGTAGAGTAATGAATTAGAAATAAATATTATCACAATAATTATCACAATAATAATTACAAAAATTATATTAGTTATTTTATGTGTTTTAATAATTTCATTCTTTATTTTAAATATTTTAATATATATTATATATATGTTATAATACAGAATAAACTTATTACAAGTAAAACCGTGTTAAAACATATAGAAAAGAACAAGGTAATATAAAAATAACAAGATTAAATGAACGTACAAATGCGTTGAAAAATTTAAGAATATTTTAAACAACAATATAGAGAAGAATATTATTAGATGTATTAAATTGAGAAATAGTAATATGTGTACTAGTTGAAGTGAATGATAAATAATTAAACAACTTGGTTGATTACTAATTGTTTGAATGGTAAAAAATATTAGAAAATAAAAAGAATATAAAAAGTGGTAATAATAGCTTTAATAGATAAGACAAAGTAAATAACTATTAATGCATTGTAGTTATTTATGTAAGTAATCTTTTACTATAGTAATTTTATAATTTTACCTTAATTCTGTATTTTGTATTGTTTTGTATTGTGAAATTGTTTTAAATTCTATTTTCTTTTCATTTATAATCGTATTTATTTAAATATATTATTTCTCAATGTACTTTATTTTTTGTTACTTTCATTTATTTTCAACATATAATTGTATCAATTTGATATATTATTGATATATTAAAAATATTATTTAGTTTTTGAACATAAAAATAACGTTCTAAAAAACAACAATAGAATAAGTTAACCAATAATAACGATACGTATTAAGTACTGGTGTAATTAAATTTTAAAGGGATAAACATTAAATGATATAAATGTGAGAAAAGGATAGTTTCAATAAAAAAAAAATAGAAATAAAACAAAATAAAAAAGAGAATAAAAAAGTATCTTAAGGATAATTATCGTATACTATAGGAAAATCAGAGTGTAACTAAAAATAAGTGATAAATAACAAAAAATCAAAAACAATTTCCAAAAAACATGGAAAAAAAGGAAAAAAGAAAAATAAAATGAACAATGTTTCATTTAAGAGGAAGGATAGTTAAATAAATAAAAAGAAACAGAATAGCTCATTGCTAT